CAATCTCAAATGCTTGGGCACAATTAACCCATAGAAAGACCCAATCCATTCTGATTATTATATAACCTCACGTACATCAACCATAACCTCCAGAGCTAATAATCACCCATTACAATCAATTAACCGACAAACGCCCTACTCCTAACCACCGACCTAGTGCCCCGACTTTTATTAAGCATCCCAAGCTGTCCAGCCTCCTGCTCGACATCCACCACACTCCTGGCAAGACCAAGATATCCCTCATCATCCAACGCAAAAAGCGCCTCTTGGACCCACACGCGGCAGCAAAGGCCCTCTCGGAATCGAGCCGAGTACAGCGCCAACGGGACGAGTGCCAGACGTGCTCCCAGCGCGGTGTGCAGCACGGGCCCGACGACGCCAATCTACAGGGCTAGCACCACTCGCGTGTTACTTGCTACATTGTACACGACTTCACTTCTGTATTGCCAGGTTACTGGGCCTGCCTCGTTGGTTACGTGGAAAGTTTGGCCGATTGTGGGTGTTGAGGTGAGGCATAGTTTCCATTCGAAGAGCCAGCTGCCGCCTAGGTCGAGGAGGAGGATGTAGAGGGTGTTTGGTTCGAGGGAGAGGGGTTGTGGGAGTGACATGGTTTGAGACATTAGGTTTTTGGAGTGGATTGGATTGTTATTTTGTTGGTTTCCTTGGATAAGATTTTGCTCAAGATGAGGTTTTGGTGCCTACGCCTATTTATATAACCCGTTGCAAAAAGAAGTGGAATTGAATATATGCATTACTTTTACCTCATACATCCCCTTTTCGGATATTCTCGATAGCATGGAGTTGGGTACAGCTCAGGGGGACAATCGAGGAAGGGTTTCCAGACAAGATTCTAATCCCAATGCTCTGCCCAATCAGCAGTTGCATCGTACATACTACGTACATATGAGTATGCAATGAACTAGGATTCGCTGGCTTGGTCATGTGGCAGCTACTTATGTATAGCTGCATGTATATAGTAAATCCTCCGAGGAAACCTGGTATATGTACATCAACGTATATACTTCGCTTCGTCTCCATAGTGCCAAAGATAGACCCTGTCAATGATCCTCCAAGTTACATGTTCTTCTAACTATATTTCAGAATATAGTTGAACGATCTACCATCGTTATGTGATTTTCAGACTTCCCTTCATCTCCGATTGCAATAGGAACCCGGTAGAAGAGCCACTTGCACTCATCCCAGCTGTCGCCAAGAACCAAGCGAACAAATCGGACCCTCAAGAGCCCTGATATGAGGCTCGGAGACTGATGCAAGTCAGAACTACTGTCCAAGTAACCCGACACATTTTGTTGAATTGCTTGACGCGCGGCAATCCTAGACATATGCTTAATTGATTCGACAACGGATGCAGCCATTATGCATCCGGGCTTACTTCCTCCCACCACTACGTCTCGTATGAATATGTTTGTCCTCTATCCGTCTTGATCTCTAAAATCGGCATCCGACAGTTTGGTGGACGGGTCGGAATTTAAGGGATAGGTCAATCCCAGTGCATGGGTCCGATACTACCTAGATACTACCGGGAAATCATCAAGGATTGATATTGTAACTTATAGAGTAAAGATTGATGGATGCGGGTGTATGCCAGGAAGTTGATACTTGTGCCCTATACAATCGACACCTAAACATCTTAAAAAGAAGGGCCCTACAACATCCATTTGACCCGCCACCTAGTGCAATTCTTAAACGCAACAAACTTTGCCAGATAACATCTACCACAAAGAAAGATATACACAAATACAGGGATCAGCTAAGAAAACCAATTGCAGTGCGACAGACCACCTCATCGCCCCCTCCAGCCACCATTCGCCAACGTGGACTACTATCCTCGTGGCATTCCCCCTCCTATCATCACACCGAGAGTGCAGGATGCATTGCATTCAATCCGATGCCCACTTCTCAGCTGGCATATTCTAAGAAGTGCCCGGACCCCTCCCGTGGCGCCCACATGCCCGGTTTCGATTGGTTGCTCTTGGTTGGTGGGAAGACGTGTTTTCGGTCGAGTTCGCTTCGAGAATGGGAGATAGCGGGGGATTGCTATAGCCTCATTGCCTCCGGTGATATTGCTGTCCGGCCGTGCTGGTCTTTTCCTTAGCGATGAGCCTTAGATCTGTCCGAGTTGATGATGGTAGCTTTGAGTAGGCAATAGCGCTACTGAGGAAAGACAGTGGGAATTCGCTTAACTTAGAAGCGCTCAAATGCACACGTTGGTCTGCAGATCTCATGTAGTGTTGTTCGACTAGATGCGTCAATAGCTTTGGGATCAATAGGCAGGCGATTCCGTGCAAAGGAATAAAATAGGATTACACTTGTATCGGCATACTTCAGTCATAAATACTGTAAAAGGGGAATCATTGGCTACGCAAGCAACCCAACACAAGGTGCATGTCAAGTAAAGAAGCTCGGAATGGAATGGAAAATAAACACATTGAAACGTGCTGGAGTGGGAATAACGACAATAAAAGAGAGAGAAATTTCCACTCAGCCCCTTTTCTGCTCGCATCAACCGAATATCAAACTCCGCCGGCCGACCCACACGGTCCCGAAGACGTGCAAGATATCTGCCGGTCCAACCCAGCGCTGCAGTGAAAACAAAGAAGCGACTTGCATAACCACGTCCAGGAATAAATGCGAACGCCCACCCTACCAAACGGCATACGGCTCGTCGCGACCCCTAATGCTGCTCCTTTAAGCTTGAGTCTCGGCGGGCTTAGCCTCCTCGGGCTTTTCCTCGGCGGGAGCAGCGGCCTCGGTGGCAGCGGCAGCAGGAGCAGCGGCCTCCTCCTCAGACTTCTCCTCCTTGGCGGCAGCCTCGCCCTCATTGCCCTCAGATGAGGTCCAGAGGGTCAGGTTGTCGCGCAGCAGCTGCATGATCAAGGTGCTATCGCGGTAGCTTTCCTCGGAGAGCGAGTCGAGCTCTGCAATGGCATCGTCGAATGCCTGCTTGGCAAGGTGGCAAGCACGATCAGGCGAGTTGAGGATCTCGTAGTAGAAAACGGAGAAGTTCAGGGCAAGACCCAGGCGGATAGGGTGAGTGGGAGTGAGTTCGGTCTGGGCAACGTCGGTGGCGTTCTGTGGCACGATCAACAGCGGTTCATTGCGAATAGAGAGAAGGCATATGGCGATAAGCCGAAATAAGGGTTATTTACCTTGTAGGCCTCGTGGGCAGCGGTGGCAGCACCCTTGCGCTTGGGGCCGGAAGCGAACTCGGCGAGGTAGCGGTGGTAATCGCCCTTCCTGTTTACAGAGTCAGCACAATGGCACAATGTCCCAAGAGGAGGAGTGCGCAAAGCGAAGTCGGTTGGAGTATAACGCACATCTTGTAGTAGAAGACCTTGGACTCTCCAGTCTCGGCCTTGGGGATGAGAGCGTCATCAAGAACATCAAGCACATCCTGGCACACTTGCTCCAGCTCGGTTTCGATCTTCTGGCGATAGTCGCGGATGATGCCGACGTGCTCATCGGAGCCCTTGTTTTCCTCCTTCTGCTCGATGGAGGAAATGATGCGCCAGGAGGCACGGCGGGTGCCGACCACGTTCTTGTAGGCGACGGAAAGCAGGTTACGCTCATCAACAGTGAGCTCGCCACCAATCTAAATACGTGTCAATCGCAAATACCCCAAAACTAGTCCCGAAGATGATGGGAAGATGGTGTCATACGTTGGCGACTTCCTGTTCGGCGATTAGCATGGACACTCAGTAGACAACATGAGGGGTTGCGACTAACCTTCATGAAGGTAACCATTTCTGAAAAGCACAGAGCGAGATGTCAGCATACACGTCCAACCAAACCATCGCAAGTCAACTCACCATCGTAGCGCTCGGCCTGCTCGCAGAGCCGCGCGAGGAACGTCTTGCTGGTGAGGGGGTCAGTCATGTCGGGTCATGGTGTTTCAGGGATAGGGGCGACGATGGACATACTTCTCACGCTGCATAGTCACCATATTTGTTAGCCCAGTTCTTATCGACAAAAATTCCAGATGGGGGTAAGCTCATATGAGGATGGGAATGTGGGATTGCGATGGCGGTGACAACTCAAGAGAGCGTCCAATAGAAGGGGACAACAACATACCTCAGAACCCATTGTGAAATTGAATCGAGATGGGTGGTTGGGACTTGAGACTTCAAATAAAGGGATAGGAAACGCAAGAAGCAGAAGAGGAAGATGGGTAGAGACGACCAAGTGGGGGGAGAGAGATGGAGTGAGGTGAGTTGGGGGGAGAATCATAACAACAATACGCTGTTCTCTTGTACCCGGTACCTCGTGCCCCCTATTGTGGCACCGCTCTGTTGAAGTACTCCGGTACTTGGGCCGCGGCCCAGTATTCGTTTTACCGTCGATCCTCCTAATAAGTAATTAATTTGAGCGGGGTGGGGTATATCTGACCGTATTTATTACCGAGTACTGCTAATATTAGACAGTCGTATCCATCTCCTTTTAAGGGGACATGGACACGTGGATCGAATAACTAGCATGATATATGGGATTTGGCTTGATTCTATAGCTGATCTGTACCTAGACTTCCCCTCTGTGTATCTACGAGGCCATCATACCTTCAATGTTGTCCTAGGGACTCCGACCGGTACTGTCACCTGCGATGATCAGTTGGAAACACATGCAATTCCTATGTAGAGTAGCCCTGGTGGTTCTGCGGAGGTAAACAAGTCTATTTATTGTCTTCTACCTACGTAGGTATGTAACTATTCTAGTGAAAGCATATATAGTCGTATAAAAGTCTGGGGATGATGATGATGCAAATCTCTTTGGAACCTTCCAGACAACAAAACCGGTTATGATGTAGTTGATCAACCACTCAACTCGGAAGTATCACAAGTTCCACAGTTTGGAGTATTTCAAGCTAAAAGTATTCAAGTAAAAGAAAATGTGAACATTACTTTCCTTCAGACATTTCCTACTTTTTTCTTCATTGGACACCTCGCTATAGCATATACAACACAGTGTCCCGTCTAAATGCTCGTTAATGGGCAAGTGAGACACTTGCGGTCAAGCTCTTGAGTTGCTCCTACTAAGAGTTGGATATTGGAGTCCAGGTCCACGGTTGAAGTACTTTTGATTCTGTTACAATTATTTTTCACCCAATTCGAAAGAGACATAGTACATGTAAAAGGGCGGTCCAGAAAGAAGAGCAAAAGGTGGCTGCACTTAATTACCTGTCTATATATGTACATACGTAGTTATGTCAATAAGTTGATTATTCCAAGCTTGAAGGTTAGCTATCGGATTAATCATATCGCCCAGTTGACCGGTGAACGCATAGCAAACTTTGAGAGACTTCCAAGATTGCTGATTTCGTTTCCTTTCTAATCTCGGCTGCGAAAAGTGGCTTGAAATGAGCATTTGGCTAATCTTAAATAAGCGAGATACAGTCGATTGGAGTTGGAATCTGTTAAAAGGGCAAATCATTGGGGGTGGAATATATCAATAAGTACTCCGTACATATAATATAAGAGATGCAACATGACTAGGTGGACTTTTGGTTCTAGCGTCAGCCCTATAGGCAAGGGTATGCTAGCGTGCTTATGGAGCTGCCACGCTTCATGCATCTAGCAGGGACTGTGCTTTAGCCTGAAGATCTCGGCCCTGGGAACAAAGCAACTCCCAACCGATCAAATGTCTTGGCCTGGAGATAAGCAAGTACACGACAAGGGGTTTGGTCGTCACACTAGTTGTGCAGAGTCGCTTCGGTCGATTCGGAGGATTGATACTCATTTTGTTAGGAAATTCCAAGATTGCCAAGAGAACAGGCTACCCACCAAGACTATCTGATAGGCAAAAAAAATGATGTAGCCTAGAGATGCCCCATAAGCCAACGAAGTTGGAAATTGGCATGACGTTGGAGTTCTACAAGAGGCTCTTGCTCCAATTCACTCAAAGAAGAGACAATGGTATAGCAAAAGACTGAGTACGCCAAAGGTGGTGAAAACTGGAAGTATTAAGCACTTTAAGTGCCTTTATACTCAATAAAAGACAGAATAGAAGAAGAAAAGAAAACCAAGCGGAGAATTGCCAGCGACCCGCCTTCAGCCCTGTAGACCCCAGGGCCCTGGAAGCCCCACTTGAGTGCTTACTCAGCCCCTGGAATCAAATGGATGAGAACACGTTGACTTCCCCCACTGGGGGTTCGGTCGATCTTTCATTTCTTGCTTTTGATCTCTTTTTCTTATTTTGTATCGCCTAGTCCCTCGCTTTGGGCTGCTTCTCTTTTCCCGACTCTGTGCTACGCTGGGCATGTCTCTATCTTAAAATAGGCACCCATTTCTTGTTTCCTTGTTTACCCCAACTATTGTTCCTCACCTCTACGGCTATCGCAATTGATCCTGCCTATTGCCGTTGAGGGTGTCGCGACCATGGAGAACGCCTTTCTCCGTACTCCAGCGGAGTCGCTGGAGCACTTCAAGGTGTCGGAGCAGACCGGTCTGTCGCAGAACGCGGTCTTAAAGTCCAGACAACAGTATGGACCAAACGGTTAGTACCCACTCCGCTGCAGAATGATGACATTGTCAGAACTGACGTCTGCTGTTTACTTAGCTCTTGCCGAAGAACCCCCGACCCCCATGTGGGAGCTGATTTTGGAACAATTCAAGGACCAATTGGTTCTTATCCTCCTTGGCTCGGCTGCCGTTTCCTTTGTGCTAGCTCTTTTTGAAGAGAGTGACGATTGGACCGCATTTGTGGACCCCGCTGTTGTAAGTGCCTGGATATTCTACGCTCCATCTGGATACCTATGTGTTCTATCTTGCTGACCAAGGCCTGCTTTGTTTGCAGATCCTTACTATCCTCATCCTCAATGCTGTGGTCGGAGTGACTCAAGAAAGTAGTGCGGAAAAGGCGATTTCAGCTCTCCAGGAATATTCGGCCAACGAGGCCAAGGTTATCCGTGATGGAATGACGCGAAAGGTCAAGGCCGAAGAGTTGGTTCCCGGAGATGTGATCCAAATTGCTGTCGGTGACCGTGTCCCCGCCGACTGCCGACTGCTCGCAATTCAGAGCAACAGCTTCCGCGTCGACCAGGCTATTCTGACTGGCGAGAGTGAAAGTGTTGCAAAGGAGACCCGCGCTATTAAGGACGAGCAGGCCGTCAAGCAGGACCAGCTCAACATGCTTTTCTCTGGTACCACCGTTGTCAACGGTCACGCTACCGCTCTGGTCGTGTTGACCGGTGGCTCGACTGCCATTGGAGATATCCACGAGAGCATCACTTCCCAGATCTCCGAGCCGACCCCCTTGAAGAAGAAGCTGAACGACTTCGGTGATATGCTTGCCAAGGTTATTACCATCATCTGTGTCCTGGTTTGGGTTATCAACTATGAGAACTTCAACGACCCCGCGTTCGGTGGCTGGACCAAAGGTGCTATCTACTATCTGAAAATTGCTGTCTCTCTTGGTGTGGCGGCTATCCCGGAGGGTCTGGCAGTGGTCATTACCACCTGTCTGGCTCTTGGTACCCGCAAAATGGCCCAAAAGAATGCAGTGGTCCGGTCTCTCCCCTCCGTCGAAACCCTGGGCAGCTGCAGCGTGATTTGCTCTGACAAGACCGGAACATTGACCACTAACCAGATGAGTGTCGAGAAGATTGTTTACCTGACTAGCTCTGGCACTGGCTTCGAGGAAATCGACGTCGAAGGCACTACTTTCACCCCCGAGGGAAAGCTTACTCAGAATGGCAAGGTTGTCGAGAACTTGGCCGTTTCTTCATCGACCGTCGCACAATTGGCCGAGGTCACTGCCCTTTGCAACGCCGCTACTCTTTCCCACGATGCAAAGAGCGGAGTCATCTCCAGCATCGGTGAGCCCACCGAGGGAGCCCTGCGTACTCTAGTTGAGAAAATTGGATCCACCGATATCACGTTGAACCAGAAGCTTTATCGCCTCCCTGCATCCGAACGATTGCACGCCGCCAGCGCTCACTACGAGTCCCGTCTTCCCCTCAAGGCCACCTATGAGTTCTCCCGTGACCGCAAGAGTATGTCTGTTCTCGTTGGCGAGGGCAAGGAACAAAAGTTGCTGGTCAAGGGTGCCCCCGAAAGCATCTTGGACCGCTGCTCGCACGTAATTCAAGGCGCCAATGGATCTCGTGTTCCTGTGACCAAGAACCACTTGAAGCTTCTCTCCGAGGAAGTTGTTGAGTATGGTAACCGTGGTCTCCGTGTTATGGCGATCGCAAGTGTCGACGATATCTCTGGAAACCCCCTCTTGAAGAACGCCGCCACCACCGACGACTACACCAAGCTGGAGCAGAACATGACTCTCATTGGTCTTGTCGCGATGTTGGACCCCCCTCGGCCTGAAGTCGCCAATTCTATCAAGAAGTGCCACGCCGCCGGAATTCGTGTTATTGTCATCACCGGTGATAACCGCAATACTGCCGAGTCTATCTGTCGCTCAATTGGTGTGTTCGGCGCTGACGAGGATCTCACCGGCAAGAGCTACACGGGCCGTGAATTCGACGCTCTTAGTGAAAGTGAACAGCTGAACGCCGTTCAGACCGCTTCCCTTTTCTCGCGCACTGAGCCTAGCCACAAGTCCAAGCTTGTTGATCTCCTCCAGTCCTTGAACCACGTAGTTGCTATGACCGGTGACGGTGTCAATGACGCTCCCGCTCTTAAGAAGGCTGACATTGGCGTGGCCATGGGTACCGGAACCGACGTGGCTAAGATGGCCTCTGATATGGTCTTGGCTGATGACAACTTCGCTACCATCACCGTCGCCGTCGAGGAAGGTCGTTCCATCTATAGCAACACTCAACAGTTCATCCGTTACCTGATTTCTTCCAACATCGGAGAGGTCGTCTCTATCTTCCTTACTGCTGCCCTTGGTATGCCCGAGGCTCTGATACCCGTTCAGCTGTTGTGGGTTAACCTTGTCACCGACGGTCTGCCCGCCACTGCTCTGTCCTTCAACCCTCCGGACCACGATGTGATGAATCGCCCTCCCCGCCGTCGCGACGAGGCCCTTGTGGGCGGCTGGTTGCTGTTCCGCTACATGGTTATCGGCATCTATGTTGGTGCTGCTACCGTCTTTGGTTACGCCTGGTGGTTTATCTACAATCCCGATGGACCTGG